ATGTATTTCCTTTCCCTGGTCAATAAGTAGAAGCTTGAGTTCATAATGGGAATCTTCCCCATACATATCTATCAGCGAATAAATTTGGATAACAATACGATCGCTACAAGCCATTGAATCCAAATTTGTTGTTTATATGCTGGCTTCATATATCTTATGTTGACCCCAGAATATGTTGCCAATAGATACCGGACCTACCCACGCACACGTAAGTCTGGTCCAACACGCTAAGACATGTGGACGGTCTAGAAATAATAGCAAAAGGCGGCGTGGGAGCGACTCAGAGGCGCAGGTCGAGAACGTTCGGAATCCGGCGATATGTTCGCATAACGATTGTACAATAATTACCAATCGATGTTTGTAGAATGCGAGTATGAATTCATGTATGTTGTAAGAGAGTAAAATGTAAAGAATGTTGTATTTGTTCTTGTGTTGAATCTTGCATTACCCTTGTGAGAGATACATGGAGAGTATTTATAGTGTTACAACTTAGATCTTGGCCTTTGGTTGGGAGTACACGTGGCCTCATTTCGTAAGTTTACATGTCAAATAATAGGCATCACATTTGACTTCCGAGCCTGCTACACATTTATTAATTGGTGGCTGTGTCACTATATTAACAAGACAAGACACTTGCACTCTATAATGAGTGGCCCATCAATCAATCAGGAGGGATCCTTATGTAAGACCGGATCTCTGGGGAGGAGTGCTGCTTAGAGCCTCATGATCTTGGAGAAGATTGGGCCTCAGAAGGAAGGCCCTCGGCTACAAGGTCACTTTAGCATATTAGCTTCGGCATAAGCACTTGGGCCCATGTCTGGCACGGGGTCTCGGATAAGATGCCACGTGGGTCGAAAGAGGTGAGCCATGGGCCCAGTAGGTCGGCTAACTGTTAATACGTCACAATAATCCCCCAAGTCCAAGTATGATCATTTATGTAATGCGTAGACTTTTATTGTGGCGAATCGCGTGGGGTAAAAAATTGAGAGAATTTTTTGTACCTCAACTAATAGTCCTCCAAGTCCAAGTATAGATATTTATATCATGGTTGGAGTTGAAAGTGATGGTGTTGCTGTGATTGGGAAAGGTGATGAAGAAGTCTCGAACCTGCCGATGCTTACGAAGATGTGGCTGAACTACGAAGAAGTAGATGAAGTGGATCGAACCTGCCGAGGCTTGCGAAGAGATGATTGTCTTCGATGTTTATGACAATGATTTGATATTTTGTGCATATTACTAAGAAAAGGCAGCCGAGCCGTTTCAACTACCAAGGCACGTATGGCTGCTGCATTGAATGTGAAATGATGACTACAGCTGGGACTTCTAGAAGGAGATGCGTTTGGAGAGGTGTGTGGGAAGCACGTTTGGATCGGAGGCGTTGATTTTGAAAACGGTTTGAATTCTACGCCTAGGATTCGATCTGCAACGAAGGGCCCAAATTTGATGAGCCTTGATCTGATGGCTGGTGTTCGACCTGAACTTGTATAAAAGGCAGGGAACTCCCATTTTGTGACCTTTCTATCTCTGTAATTCTGTGTTTGTTGAAAATATCATATTCCGGCGTTAAGGCTTTGCTTCGTTCTCGTTTTTCGGCATCCTTTAGTTTCCTTAGTCGATTGTCTAGTTATTTCTTGTGAGAATAACTTGTTTTGCAATCTTTGTCCATTTTCCAAACTTATTCTAATATGGAGTCCACTTCGGGTAGGGGGTAGTCATTGTTTCGTCGTTTGGGGAGGGTACAGTTCGTAGGGGGACTCCGAGATCGAATATTATGCTATGACCTAGGAGCCCGTAAATTACGAGGAGGAGTGGGGTGCGTCCAGGATACCCTCAAATATGACACAGAAGAGGTTGGGGGCGTGCCTCATAACATAGAAATGCTAGTCCCCGAGGCTGATGAACGGGCTTGTTATCCGAGGTCCGGATGTGTCGCAGTCAGTGAATACTTGTTTAAGGCGGGTATGCGTCTTCCTCTGTACCTCTTCTTTAGGGTAGTGCTAAGGAATTTTATGTTGTCGCTGACCTAGGTTTTACCGAATGGGTGGAGCCAGTTGGTGGGGTCTTACTTCCTGTGGAAGGAAGTGTCGATGGGGGAGGATATACCTTTTTCATGTCTTTCAGACCCTCTTCCAGCCCAGAGTCTTGGGCAAAGATGAGTCGAAGGGGTGGTACTACATTACTCCTTGGGGGTCGCACACCCCTTTTGTGATAGGATTGCCTTCTTCCATCAAGGGGTGGAAGGAGTTGTGGTTCTAGGTTCGGGACAACTGGTAGGCAGTAGTTGGGGACAAAGCCTTAGCTTGCACGGTACTGACCCAATACTACGAAGCTCGTGAGTCCCCCAGCGTAATTGTACTTTATATTCTGCTGAGCTTTTTGGAATTTATTTTTTGCTAATTGTTGTCACGCTTTGTAGATTCGAGAACGAGATACCAGCTCCATGAAGCGGAGTTTGACGTCATGGAGGACATTTACAAGCTTCCTTTGAAGCTTCACCATTTCAATCATCTCATCGATCGAAGCCATTATTTCCTTGACTTCGGACTGATGGCTTCCAAGGGTAAGAAGTGCCTATACTTTGTGATGGGAAAGTTTGCTTATTGATGTCAACCTCTGATCTGTTCCTTTGTGTTGCAGATAAGTTCTAGAGGAGGGAGTAACCCGCCCCCGACATGGCTACCATAATGAAGGCCACTACTAAAGTTGGGGCCCGGTCTCTGAAACTCGGTTCAAGCGGGGCAAAAGGGGTAAGGGGCAAGGTGGAGCTCCTTTCCAAAATCAATACCTCCCGGGCTATTGAGGAAGAGGCTCCAAAGAAGGAGAAAGACAGGGAGCCTCAGGGAAAAGACAAAGTCCCTGAGGACTCCCAGAAGAAGAGGAAGCTGGTCCACCTCACTAGTTCTTCGGGAAAGTTTGGGACTTCCATTTTCCAAACCAGCAAGGACTCCAGACCACCGAAGCTCATGGACTCTGCCATGAAAGCGGTGAAGGTGGAGATGGTTCAGAAGGCCGAGGCTGAGGAGGCGGCGGAAGAGGTAGTGAGGTTGGCTGCGTTGAAGGCAGAAGAGGAGGCTGCGAGGCTAAAGCCCGTAAGGACCCAGGGGAAATCCCCTAACTTCCTGGTTGGGCGTGAAGAAGAGCTTGCCCCTGCGTTGTTGAACACTCTTCCTGAAGAGGTCCGAGGTGCTGCAGCTAGTTTTTATAAATTTTGGACAGATAGGTGGGTGCAGCACACCTCGTCCTGCGACGTCGTTGACCTCTCAAGGGCCCTAGTGAGCGAAAGCGCGAGGACATTTGGCCTCGCATTGGAGTGTAGGGAGGTCCTCACTGACTTTCAAGTGAGGACCATGTCCTCAGAAAAGAAGCTGGCCTCTGCTGAGGAGGAGTTGAAGAGGTTAAGGGCCGAGGTAGAGGAGACTAAGGTCCAAAAAGTTGAAGATGCTGCCAAGTTGGAATCTGCCTTAGCCCAAATAGAGGCCTTGAAGAATGAGGCATATGAGTCTCAGTGTGAGGTGGCCTCCCTTACTAAAAAGGTGGAGACGTCAAATAATCATCAGAAGGTCATTGCTGAAGCCTTGGAAAAAGCAAACCTTGAGCTTGCTGGGGCCAAGGATGCATATAACTTCCTGAATGACCAAATAAAATGGCATGTTGATGAACTGGCCAAGGCGAAGGAGGCAGCCAAGGTGGTGGGGGAGGAGACAGTTAAAGAGTTCATTGCCAATTTCCACAACATCGAGGAGTACTAGAGCTTCAGCGCATACTGGAGGAACTTCGGCTATGCTGAGGTGATGGAGATGGCTGAGGAACTTTACCCAAGCTACTACCTGTCTCAACTTAGGTCTGAGTTTGTGGATGAGGTACCTCAGGCCCCAGCTAAGGAAGCAGCAGAAAGGACTGAAGAAGGGCCTGACGCTCAAGCTGCTGAAGTTCCTACTGCAAAGGCGCTCCCACCATCATCCGAAGCTTACTTTAGGATTCCTTTTCAGTTTATATCAATGTACTGACCTTGAGCCTACCTCTTGTAATGTGCTCAATATTAATGAATGCCATGTTTTGTAAAGTTTTACTTTCTTTTCAATATCAAGTGCATGCACCTCGATAAATAATCATGCATAAGTTTGAGTTAGCAATCTAAACTTGACATCTCGCTTCAGGGTGAGCTAATAATCAAGCCATATAAATGATGACTTAATGGGTTGCACTTTGGCTCCATCACTTTAAGATAAACCACGATGTCCAAATTGCACTTAGGTTATTTGACTGAATCTTTCCATTGAGTTCAAATTGAGGTGAAGTGATAATGGATGAAATATGCATGTCGAGGCATGTGGAGTGAGCTTCGGAGTTCAGGCGAGGTAACCCCAGCTTCCCTACATGGTGGATGGTGCAGTTATGTAGAGGCTTCTCCCATTGGTGTTCAACCTCGTCAAAGGAAGGCATGTAGAGTGAGTTTCGGAGTTCAAGCAAGATGACCCCAGAGTTGGGGATTTGAACCTCTTCTCCGAGGCTCCCACGCTTCCCTACATGGTGGATGGTGCATCCATGTAGAGGCTTCTTCCTTTGGCGTTCAACCCCGCCAGAGGAAGGCATGTGAGCCTCGAAGTTCAAGCGAGATGACCCCAGAGTTGGGGATATGGACCTCTTCTCCGAGGCTCCCACGCTTCCCTACATGGTGGATGGTGCATCCACGTACAGGCTTCTCCCTTTGGCGTTCAGCCTCGCCAGAGGAAGGCATGTGGAGTGAGCCTCGAAGTTTAGGCGAGGTGACCCTAGAGTTGGGGATCTGGACCTCTCCTCCGAGGCTCCCACGCTACGAGAGGTATTTGAATTTAATGACATTTTATTGAAACTAAAACAGTTACATAAGTTGGGAAAGATCCTCCAGCGATGCAGTACATTCACTGGTAGTAAATTCTGAGATGCTCAATATTGCCCTCCATGTCTTCAATTCTGTAGGTGCCGGGTCGGAGTTCTTCTTTAACTCTATAAGGACCTTCTCAGTTTGGACCCATGGTACCTTCTCCAGGTCCTTTGGAGGAGAGGAAGACTCTCCTAAAGACCAGGTCATTGATTTGGAAGAACCTCTTCTTCACTTTAGAATTGAAGTACTTAGTCATTTTCCTTTGGTAAGCAGCGAGCCTCAGCTGGGAGTCATCTGTTCTTTCATCAATGAAGTCGAGGTTGAACCTCAGTAGCTCGTCATTAGATATTTCGCTGAAGTGTAGACGACGAGGTGATGGTAAACCGACCTTGACTGGGCTCATGGCTTCGGTTCCATAGGCCATAAGGAAAGGAGTTTCCCCCGCGAGAGTTCTGGCAGTAGTTCGGATTGCCCATAGCACTTGAGGCAACTTATCAACCCAGGCTCCCTTTGATGCATCCAGTTTCCTTTCGAGGACATGTTTGATCATCTTGTTTACAGCCTCAACTTGGCCATTGGCTTGAGGATGACGAGGTGTTAAGAAGTGCTTCCTAATCCCAAGTTCTTCACCCAGGTTCCTGACCTTTTTATTGTCGAACTGCCTTCCATTGTCTGAAACTATGGAGTGGGGAATTTTGAATCGGCATATGATATTCTTCCAAAAGAACTTGGATGTTTTTGCTTCTGTGATTTTCGCTAGCGGTTCGGCTTCAACCCACTTCGTGAAGTAATCAATGGCCACATGGCAAAGTTCGCGCCTCCTCTAACTTTGGATAAGGGACCTATAAGATCCACGCCCCACTTAGAGAAGGGTCATGGGTTGGAGACGGCAGTTAGCTCCTGTGAAGGTTGCCTCTGAGTGGGAGAGAACCGTTAGCACTTGTCACATTTGCGCACGAATTGAAGCGCATCATTTTTCAAAGTGGGCCAGTAGTACCCTTGCCTCAGTACCTTTTGTGCCAAGGCTAGTCCTCCTGAATGATTGTCATAAACACCTTCATGGATTTCCCTCAAGATGTAAGAGACCTCGTCTCCCCCCACGCAGCGAAGAAGTGGGGAGGAGAAGCTTCTTTTGTAAAGTACTTCGTCAATGAAGAGGAAATGAGCTGACCTCTTTCTCAGCTTGTAGGTCTCATCTTTGTCAGTGGACAGAACCTGGTCCTTTAGGTAGGCTATGATTGGTTAGATCCAGATGGGGATTTTTTCGACCCACATCACCTCAGTGGCCTCGGTAGACGGCGTGAGGAGGTGCTCAATTGGTAGTATAGTAAGTAGTTTGGAGTCCTTGTTGCTCGCGAGTTTAGAGAGAGCATCCGCATGTGCGTTTTCGAGGCTAGGGATCTGCATTATTTCGAATTTTTCAAAAGATGGGAGGAGGTTCATCACCATCTTCAAGTAGGAGGCTATGATTTTATCTCTAACTGAAAAACTACCATTCACTTAGCTCAACACTAGCTGGGAGTCACTGTTGATACGTAGTCTCCTTACTTGCATTTCTTTGGCTAATATGAGGCTCGCAAGGAGCGCCTCATACTCAGTAGCGTTGTTGGTGGCCTTAAACCCGAATCTCACGATTGAGTTCAACTTGTGACCTTCTGGGCTTACAAGGACCACCCCAGCTCCCGAACCTGTGTCTCCAGCCAAACCATCCACGAACAAGTTCCACGTGGGGGGCTCAACAAGTTCCATAGCCTCTTCCATCTCGGGTACATTGGTGAACTCTACTACAAAATCAGCTAAGGCTTAGCCCTTGATGGCTGCCATTGTCTTAAAGACAATGTCGAATTCACTTAACTCTACTGCCCATTTTAGTAGTCTTCCCGAGGCATCTGACTTCTGTAGCACTTGCCTCAAAGGGAAGTTGGTTAGAACGTGAATGGTGTGTGCTTGGAAGTAGGGCCTCAGCTTCCTAGAGGCAGTGATCAAGGCTAAGGCTAGCTTCTCCATATCGGGATAGCGAGATTTCGGAGATAGGAGTGCCTTGCTGGTGTAATATAAGGGAGTTGGGTGGTTTCTTCTTCTCGGGTTAGGACTGCACTAATGGCCTCATTGGAGACGGCCAGGTATAGTTGAAGGATATCGTCGGGCTTTGGCTTGGAGATGAAGGGGCCTGCCCTAGATGCCTTTTCAGGCCCTAGAAGGCCTCTTCACATTCCTCATTCCATTCAAACTTCTTCCTGGCTTTCAATACCTGGAAGAACGGGAGGCATTTATCGATAGCCTTGGAGATAAAGTTGCTAAGGGTTGCCACTCGTCCTGTTAGACTTTGGACTTCCATGGGTTTCTGGGGTGATCTCATTTTGAGTAAGACATTGATCTTTTCAGGGTTGGCTTCGATTCCTCTTTAGTTGACCATGTACCCTAGGAACTTGCCAGAGGCAACGCCAAGAGCACACTTGAGAGGGTTGAGCTTCATCATGTATCTCCTGAGGATTCGAAAAGTGTTATCCAAGTGCATCACATAGTCGTCTGCCTTCAGGCTTTTTACAAGCATATCGTCAACGTAGACTCCCATTGTCTTGTCGATGAGATCTACAAACATTTTGTTGACAAGCCTTTGATAGGTGGCCCCGACATTTTTCACCCTGAAGGGCATCATCTTGTAGTAGTAAATGCCTCTGTCAGGGATAAAAGAGGCGTTCTCCTCATCGGTCGGGTACATGGGTATTTGGTTATAGCCAGAGTAGGCATCCATAAAGCTCAGGAGCTCATGCCCGGTGGTGGAGTCTACCAATTAATCAATTCTCGAAAGTGGGAAACTGTCTTTGGGGCATACCTTATTGAGATTGGTAAAGTCAATACATACCCTCCACTTATTGTTGTGCTTCTTGACTAGCACCGGGTTGGAGACTCATTTCGGATAGATGGTCTCTCTAATGAAGCCATTTTCGATTAGTTTCCGCACTTCTTCCTTCAGAGCCTCGTATCTTTCTAGGTTGAGGACTCTTCTCTTCTATCGATGCGGGGCAACCTTAGGTTCTATCTTTAGGTGGTGACAATTGACCTTGGGGCCTATGCCCACCATGTCCTCATACCTCCAAGCAAAGACGTCAAGATTCTTGCAGAGAAAATCTTGTAATCTTTCTTTCATGTCGTTGCTCAGGCCTATGCCTACTTTCAACACCTTCGCGGGGTCACGAGATCGATCGGGAAGCTTTCTAATACCTTAACCGGATTTGTTTGGGGTTTGTGCTCAATCACGTGGGGATCAATCTCATTGATCATGGAGAGTTCTTCCTGCTTGAGAGGTGCGTCGATCATGTCAACATCCTCTCGTTCGGGAGGGGCCTCACTTGGGACGTCTGCCATATCCACATCAGTCAGGATGGCATGTACCTCTCGAGGCTCAACCTTTCTGATGGAGCTCAGGTAGCACTCTCTGGATCCTCTTTGGTCACCTCTCACTGTTATCATCCCGTTCTCAGTTGGAGTTTCATGCATAAGTGGTGGATGGAAGTGACGGCTCCCAACTCCTTCAGGGCTAGTCTACCCAAGACTCCGTATTAGGTCGACCGACTGTGTGGTTTGGGAGGACTCTCCCATCTCTATCGCCAATGTTATCTTTCCTCTCGGAGTGATACTATCCCCAGTAAATCCATATAAAGGAGTGGTGGTGGGCATCAACTCGTGGTCCAGGATTATCTTATCAAAGGTGGATCCGAAAAGGATGTTAGCGGAGCTACCGTTGTCTACTAGTATTCGATTAAGCCCATTTCGGCCCTTACTACAAGTGCATCACAATGGGAGTAATAAACCCCTTCAGAGTCCTCTTGGGTAAAGACGATGGGCGGTACTTGGTTTCTTTGGGAGCTACTGTCGACAATATAATTGGTCAGTGGGAGGCATTTGGCCTCTCGGGCATAGTTTCGTTTTGCGTTTCGAGTTTTCCCTCTCATGTAGGGGCCTCCAAATATGGTGTCTATCTCGTGAATAGGGGGCCCCTCTTGTGCATAGCGGTCCCCACGATGCCTTTGTCCTTCCCTGAGCCTCTCTGCTCTATGTTCTCTTCAGCGGGGGGATACATCTCACTGGCGGGGGGTGGCCTCCTCATGCCTAGGTCGCTGGTCATTCCTAGGCCGGGCCCGTTTGCCTGTGGCGAATCATTCCTCCTGTCTTGGGGATTTTCCCGTCAATTACGGTATGCGTACTCCCGACACTCAGACGTGTCATGACCGTAGGAGCGGTAGTACGTACAATAATCGGGGGGTTCTGATTAAGCCTATTCCTGGGTCTTGAACTGCGCCCCCAGCCTCTTCCTCTACCGGAGACTGTTGTGAAGTTCCTGCTTGCGGGTTGGTGGTAGTTGGATTGACATCTTCAAATGCTAAAGTTGGAATTGTGTTTAAAGTGGTTATGGCAAGTGCTTGCCCTGAATTATTATCACCAGGTGGGTTCATCTGGTAGTCCATCAAGTGGGAGGTCGGACCCCAGACGCGCTGTCTCTGTTGAGGTGGGAGGCCTCTGCTGATTCCGGTGTTTAATTAATTCTTCATTAATAATCTCCCACCTCATCATTTCCAACAGGGCGTCGTAGGTGGTGGGATCTTGGTTTTACACGTCCCTTCAGAACAGGGTGTTTATATTCAAACCTCCTCTTAGGGCTGACAAAGCTTCACGATTGGTAAGTTGCACGCAATACGTCATTTCGTCGGTAAAGCGTGATAAAAAGCTTTTCAAGGATTCTCCATGTGCTTGCCTCATATCTTGAAGGCGCTGGATGTGGGCCTCTCTCTCTTTGCCCATCACAAACCTTTTTAGGAAAGTGGTCTTAAATTCTGGCCAACTCTTTATGCTCCCAGGCGGCAGTCAACTATACCAGATTTTCGCTGCTCCACTAAGTGTCAAATGAAAAGCTCTACACTTCACAGTGGGGTGGTGCCTCTAAGGCTCATATGAGTTTTATAAGCGCTTAGGTGTTTCTCCGGGTCACCTCTCCCATTATACTTTGGTATCTTGGGCATCACATAATAGCTCGAAACCTGGGCATTTCTTTGTTCCCTTGAGAATGACAGATTTTCATCGTCATCGTTTAAGTCACAGGACCTCTGTTGCTCATCTAAGTCATTATTCTCTTCAGCTTCTTACCTAGGCGGTTAATGAGAGGGTCCAGCTTGGGTCCTAGCCTCCTTTTCCTTCTTTTGGCGCCTATTTCTAGGCAGAGTAGCATGAGGGGCATTTTTATGCCTTTCCTCTGACTGATGAGATATTGGAGCTGGGGGCTGTGGTCTATTCCGAGGCTCGCGTTGCTATTGCCTGAGCCTCAATTCTGCGAGGTTAATTCTTTCAAAGACGCTATTAGACCTCATAGGTCTTTGTTCTGGCTCATATGCTGGTGGAAAGTTGTCCTTGTTATACCGGGCCTCGATGGGTTGACCTCCAGCATAATTGGAGGAAACATCAACTTCTACCTCCCTTTCCCTGGGGCTTCTGCCTCGACTGTATTCTGGTGATACAACCCTTTGGCTCTGGACTTACTCATCTTGGTCGTAGTACCCTTGGGGTGCATAGGAAGGAACAGGGAAGCCTCACTGGCTCAGCATTTGGGCCATGAGAACTCATGGCCATGTTTTGGCTAGCAATGTCCCTCATATTTAAGGCCATGGTGGCCATCTCCCTTAACAATTGAGCGGCCATCCGCATGCCAGCTCTTCTGTGGTGGTGGTGAGGCCGATGCCTAGCTACAGGGGTAGCTGTCGATAGGGGCATTCCCACATTTTCTCTTACCCTCCTAGGGGGTACATCCTCGTCTGAACTCATTCTCTTCTATTCCAAACTCAGATTGTTGCTAAGTTGTGGGGATTCCACTTGTTCTTTTTCAAGAATAAATCATTTTTCAAGGGGGATGTCAAAATATTCTTTTCGATAAGCTTCCTCCACACAGTTGCTCGTGGTTATAGTGTGGTTTCTCACAGACGGCGCCTATCTGTTGACCCCAGAATATGTTACCAACAGATATCGGACTCACCTGTGCACATGTAAGCATGGTCCAACACGCTAAGACACGTGGACGGCCTACGAATAATAGCAAAAGGGACGAGGGAACGACTCAAAGGCGCAGGACGAGAACGTTCAAAATTCGACGATATGTTCGCATAACGATTGTACAATAATTACCAATCGGTGTTTGTATAATGCGAGTATGAATTCATATATGTTGCAAGAGAGTAAAATGCAAAGAATGTTGTATTTGTTCTTGTGTTGAATCTTGCATTACCCTTGTGAGAGATACATGGGGAGTATTTATAGTGTTACAACTTAGATCGTGGCCTTTGGCTGGAAGTACACGTGGCCTCATCTCGTAAGTTTACATGTCAAATTATAGGTATCATATTTGACTTCCTAGCCTGTTACACATTTATTAATTGGCGATTCTACCACTATATTGACAAGACAAGACACTTACACTATATAATGTGTGGCCTATCAATCAATAAGGAGGGATCCTTATGTAAGATCGAATCTCTGGAGAGGAGTGCTGCTTAGAGCCTCAGGACCTCGAGAAGATTGGGCCTCAGAAGGAAGGGCCTCGACTACAAGGTCATTTCAGCATATTAGCTTCGGCATCAGCACTTGGGGCCACGTCTGGCATGGGGCCTCGGATAAGATACCACGTGGGTCGGAAGAGGTGGGCCATAGGCCCAGTGGGTCCGCCAAGTGTCAATACGTAACATGTTACATGTTGGCGCAGTTAATTCTCTGTTAATTAACTGGAATGTAGCATTTACTTCTTTCATAGCTCATGTGTAGGTTTCCTTTTGTCCTTCTCTATGTAAGTTTCCAAAGCAAGGTAATAACTTTGTTTTCATATTCTTCTACAGATACATTTCACGAAGTGTAAAAGAAACCTGATAGAAGAAAAGAGCTAATGCTACCTGTGATTTAATACCATATGTACTATAGCTTTACTCATAAATGCTCCTATATCATTTAATTTTAAGTTCATGATTACATCTAAGAGATTTGTGATGCATTTGAAGATTTTTAGACACAAGAATTGTACCAGGTTGCAAGTTTATGCGAAGTTAAGTGTTAAAGCCCAAATATCTACATTCCCATAAGAAACTTGATAATCATAAAATGGTGAATATCATCATTTTTAGGATGTTTCAAACCTGCTTAGGTACTTTAAAAATATTTGTTTGTTGATTAGTTTACCTTTCATGGAGGTAGAGGAAGCCTTTTATGACATAAAATGCTAACTTTTCGGAGGTTCGTTCTCTCCCACATTCTCCAATTTCCTAAATGCTTTGCAACTACCTTACTCGCCACATTAATTATAAGTTAGTTGCATACTAAGCATTCTTAACATTAGCCTATAAGATTCAGACTTATAAGTTAGTTTTAGGCTTAAAGGTTTGGAACTAATTGCTGTTACTAAATTTTATTTATTTATTTGATCGGTGAATGTAAAAATTTCATTGATCAAAATTTCAATACAAGTACTCCGGGCTTACATTATTCGACAATGCACATCTTGATTATCAAAATCTATATGCTCGGTGCTAAAGATTCATAATGATGCAAAACATAGGGATACAAAGTAAACATGACTTTGTAGACATGTGTTTTAATGCGTCTGATGATGCTATCCGGTTGCTACCTGAGATCTTCGAAGAGTAGTTTGTTTCTAGCTGTCCAGATATGATAAACAGTGCTTGCGAGCGCTACTTTCTAGGTTTTAGATTGCCAAGATGTTCCTTGTCCCTCCTTCTTGATCCATTTCAGAGCACTCGATAATGTAGTCATGGCTCTAGTGATTCCGAGCCATGTTTCGACTTGTCCCCAAATTTCTTTACTCGTGCGACATTGGAAGAAAAGATGCTGGATTGATTCTGTTGTAGCTTGACAAAATATGCATCTATGGTCGATCTCCATGTGCTGTAATCGGTCTCTGGTAGAGAGCTTAGCTTTCGCACTAAGCCAAAGTAAGAAAGAATGTTCAGGGGTGATGCATGAACTCCAAACAGTCTTTGCCCATCGGTCGAAAATAATTATAAGCTTTAGCAATGCATATATTGTCTCCTTGAATCCAACTTGAAATTCTTTGGTAGGCAGTATGGATTGATCCTTCAACTTCCTTCATGCGTAGTGCAATGGACAATATCTTTTTAAAAAGTCGTGAGTCATCCTTTTTGGGTGACCTTTCCCGTATTGATGTCCCTCCCAAATACACTTGATTGATCCATCGCACCCAAAGTGTGTCCTTTTTAGCATGCACGTTCCACAACGACTTGGCTAATAGTGCATTATTCCAGCACTTTATATCTCGAAATCCAAGTCCTTCCTCACTTTTGGGGAGACAAACTTCAGACCAGGCAACAAGCGGTTTTTTGGAATTCCAAAGGAAATTCCTACAAAGCCGTGTGATCCTCATAGTGACTGCAGCGGGTATTGGGAATGTAGATAACCAGAAGCATTCGACACCTTGTGAGACTAATCTTATTAGTGCAGCCCTGCCCGCGTAAGATAATGATGAGCTTGTCTAGGCATGTATATATGCAGCTATCTTATCAAAGAAAGGGGCGTAGTGGATGACTTTCAATTTTCCTGCAACTAATGGAAACTCCCAAATATCTGAATGGCATGGAACCCCTCGGCATGTTTACCAATTCTTGGATGTCATCCAAATCTTCGCCCTGAATTCCGACTGTGAAAATGTTGGATTTACTTGTATTCATCTTCAGTCTCGAGCAATCTCCAAACTTGGACAAACAATCAATCAGTATACGCACTGATATAATGTCGCCCCTCAAGAACAACTTCAGGTCATCCGCGAATGCTAGATGTGTGATTTTCAATGGCCCACACTTTGGATGATAGTTAAACTCGGTGTTGTTGGTATTAGCTTTCAAAGCTCTTGAAAGATATTCAAGACAGATCACAAATAAGAAAGGTGATAAGGGCTGTTACTAAATTTTTGTTTTGATTTATTGTCACTTTGTTACTTTGATTTCACAGGGTAGCTGAAAAATGAAATTGTAGTTTCAAGCATCTGTATATATGAAATGGAAAGTTTTGATTGCTTGAACTTTTCTAGGAATACTTTGCAAATATCTTGGATTTAACATTACTAATTCTTCGTTCCAAGCAAAACCTTTTGCGGTTTATAATTAACACAGTTTCATATTTTCCTACAACATCATCCTGTTAATCATTAATTAAAAGTTAAAATTCTGATAATGCTTTATAATTGAAGGTATAGGTAGTGGGTCATAAATTTGACATAATGCTTCTTGATCCACATCACCATATTTCGTTTGGGGCAAGCTGGATTTATTTTTCTCAATGATGTTCTTTTGGAAATCAACTTCCATGTTTTCGTACATATTTTTGTGTTCATTTATCTATTTGTTGATGTTAACTATTTATGTTAAATTGGAGTACTGGAATGTCATTTGATGCATTCATTGACTATTCTATTGTAGTTGATCCTCAATAAGGTTCTTATACTAAAATAAAAAACTCAAACAATTTTTGGGAAAACCTCCATCCATGATTGTAGGTTTGGAGGTTTCCAGTGCATGAAGGTTTCGTTTTTCGTTTTTTCTTTTTTTGTTTTTTTAATTTGTTTTGTTCTTGTTATAAATAATTTTGAGATTTACATGGAATATTATTTTATTGAAGAATGTGTGGTTAAAATGATGTCAAATCACTGTTGAAGAATGTATTTTTTTGAAAATAATGTGGCTCAAACAAGCCCTTAATTTGTTTTGTTTTTATCATATATTTTTTTGGAAATTATTTAAATTTTTTTTTATCTTATAAATAATTTTTTTCAATTTGAAAAGAATTTAAAATTATTTTTAAAACGTAATTTTTTCAATCTTAATTAAAAAATAATATTTATTTTAATTTTAATTATTTCGATTTAATTAAAAAAATTATAATAATCTTATTTTTTTCTATTTTTTCCTGTAATTCTTTTTATTGTTCTTTAATTTGTTAAATCATTTAGTTTCTTTTCTTTATCAGTATTGGATTGAATGAAGTGAAGTGACTTTTGAAATTTGAGAAATGATTGAAAACAACACGACTTCGTTTTTTCTCCTACGATAAAAAAAAATTGAAATTATAAAACTTATTTTTTTTCAAATTTAATTAAATAATATTTATATATTCTTTATTTAATTTTTGGAACTTTTTTTGTTTAATTTGTTTTGTTTTTATTATATTTTTCGAAAATTGTTTTAAAATTTTTTTCTTCATATTGTAAATAATTTTTTGTTCAATTTAAAATTTTTTTAATTGAATTTTTAAATGTTTGAAGAGGTTTTCTCCTTTATGGTTATGTCCATNGTCCATGTCTACATTATTTTCTAATGTTCTACTTACCTTTTTGCATTCTTGTAATCTTATGGTCAAACTTCAATGACAACAAAATCAGGTTCTTAGAAGAAGGTTGATACATGAAATTACATTTAACATTTTAAACTATAATTTAGGATTTTGCATGTTACCTGTCAACATGACAAACCATTTTTGATATTGTTATATTGTATATCTTGATGATATTTAATTATTATAATCATACAAAGCTTGAGTGAGCTAAATCATATTTTAGACTGACCTAATATAAATAGAGAAATATGTTTCGCATAAAAAATTTTCCTACGAACTTTTGTACACGAAAATGCCTTGTACTAATATATGCAAATTCTCAAATTTTCATATGAAGAATAAAAAATATAGAGAGAAAATTAACAGAAAAATAAGTTAATTTGAACGAATTTATAAATACCTTTCAAATTTATGAATGATTATTTCTAAAATTTACACACTTATTTCAAACATTAACCAATAAACGTGCAATGCACGTTAACTCACTAATTTTTATTAGAAGTGATTAAGCTTTCACTTAAAACTTAAGTGGGATAGTTACTTCGATTTGTGTCTTTTAGTCGCGTCGACATAGGGTCGGCAATGGGCCGAGCCGGCTCAGCTCGGCCCTTAATGCCATGAGCTCGGCTCGTGCTCGTGGCGAGCCGAGCTCGTGGGCCGAGCCGAGCTTCGGCTTGTGGGCTCGCCTATTTTTTATTTTTTTTATTTTTATATATATATAAAATAAAGAATAGAGTTTTAAAAATAAAAAGTGTTAAAAAATACAAATAATTTAATGAGAGCAAATTTTTATTTTTTTATTTATATCATATTGTAATTTGTAATACTTTTTATAAGGTATAAAATATTTATATAATGAAAACAAATTATTTTTTGAAATACATTTACAAAAAATATTTTTTTTGATTTCTTTTTAAAGTTAATAAAAAATAGAGTTTTAAAAATAAAAAGTGTTAAAAAATACAAATAATTTAACGATAACAAGTTTTTATTTATATCATATTGTAATTTGTAATACTTTTTTTAAGGTATAAAATATTTATATAATGAAACGAATTATTTTTTGAAATACATTTACAAAAAATATTTTTTTGATTTCTTTTTAAAATTAATAAAGAATAGAGTTTTAAAAATAAAAAAGTGTTAAAATACAAATAATTTAACGAGAACAAGTTTTTATTTATATCTTATTGTAATTTGTAATACTTTTTATAAAGTATAAAATATTTATATAATGAAAACGAATTATTTTTTGAAATATATTTACAAAAAATATATTTTTTTGATTTCTTTTTAAAGTTAATAAAATGTAAACCATCCTTCTTTATCCGGGTTTGGGACCGGCTACATCAATTTTAAGTAGGCGGAGTTAAAAATTATACACGAACAACTTGTTGTAACGTGTACAATTTTTAAAAAAAAATTAAATTTAACGATTAAAAAATAAAAAAAAAATTTGATTAATATAATTAAATCAAATATCACTTACCTGACGACATGCAATTTCAGCATATTTATCTTGTAGTCGAAAATGAGCGTCCTGCCAATCCTTCACACACATTAACGCTTCCAAAACATCTTCTTTCAGTCGGCTCCTGACATCAGTCAGAACCCTTTTACCTGCACTAAAAGCAGACTTCGAAGCAACAGTACTAACCGGATGTGTCAATAGATCTTTCGCAATTGCAGAAACAATTGGCCAACGTCTTTCATACTTTCGCCAGAATTCAATTACTTCTTCTGAAATTTTTTTAATTGTTCTGTCTGTTGGCATATTATGATTGAAATAATCAATTAATTCGGTAGGCATCGCATTTTGAGTTTCGGCCGATGTATGATGAGATGCAGATGTAGACGACATGGCACTAGATGAACACATTGCAGTTGCATCATATCTAAATGTATTAATGCCCTGAAATAAATTCATTATTTTCGCAGTATCTTCTTCAATTTCAGCAGAAGGAGTAGGTGCAGCAGAGGGTACCCACTAACATTTGCACCCATTCATTCCGCATATAAATCATACAGTCCACATAATGTTTGCTCTAAATTCTTATGGGTATAGGTGTATCAAGTATTAAAACTTTATTGATTTGATCAATTAGGTATTTAGTTTCCGAAATATTATATCGGGGGTCCATTGCGCATGCTAAAGAAAATAACATAGGCAGTTCTTCCCAATATTTTCTAAACTTTAATTCCATAGCAATTAAAATTTCACTAAAAGCAGGATCATTTTTATATTTATGGAATGTTCTTGCAATTATATAAAGGCGGCGTTCAAGCACCATACAACTTGTGGCATAATAAACGCCGGATAAAATTTTTGTGGTCTCATAAAAAGATGTCAAAAATCGTTTAACTTTCAAAACTAAAATCCAATCGGATTCATTTATCATACCATCATCATCACTTCTAACATGTGTATTATTATAAAAGTCAGTTATTAAATTTTCGAAACTTTCACATGATTTTAATAGCAAGCATGTAGAGTTCCATCTATGACCTACGTCGCTAACAAATGTTTTAGCAGTCATCACCCCTAGTTCGGCACAAAAATCTTCAAATGCTTGTTTTCTACTAAGAGAGATCGTAATATAAACTAATGCATTCCTAATCTTTTGAAGTTCATCCTTTATATATTTTAAACCATCTTGCACAATTAAATTCAAGATATGACACACACAACGAATATGAAACAAACACCCACCAAAATCAGGTTGAAGTGTCCTATACAATTTATCGACGACTACCTTATTAACGCTAGCATTATCAAAAGTAAAAGATCGAATTTTACTCTCACAATGATATTCTCTAACAATACTGATAATAACATTATATATATTATTAGCATTGTGAGGAAATTCAATAATTCTAAAAGCAATAATTTTCTTATGCATGCACCAAAGTGGGTCTATATAGTGTGCGGTTGCAGCTATATATGCTCTTTTATTAACCCCTTCCCATATATCAGAAGTTAAGGATATAACACCCCCATATTGTTGCAAATCCATAATTAATTGTTGTTTTAAATTATTGAAATAATTTATTGTATCGGCACGAACAGTGTTTCGACTTACCGCAACGTATCTCGGTTGTAGATATTCTTGCACGAATGAAACAAAGTGTTGGTTGTCTGCAATAGCCAGAGGCAACTCAGTGGCGGTAACAAATTTCACCATTCCAGTTCGAGTCTCGTCCTCTGAATACACCTACGTGGACAGGAGTGAAGTTGTAGAACCGACGCGCTGGACTGCCAAATTGTAATTGTGTTTGACCAGCTGGAAGAAGTCCATGTTTGGCTGCACATGATTTGTAGTGGCGGTTGAGATGAGTGGTACCAATTCCTTTTTGCCATGCCAATCTTTGTTGGCAGTATTTACATACTGCTTTAGATTCTGCAAGGCCATCAACGACTTTTCCTGTTGAAATCAACTTAAAGTGATCCCAACATTTTGCTTGTTTTTTGGCCTTTCGCTTTCCCCTCGCATCTGGGATATTTAATTGCTAATCTTCATCTTCATATTCCGCTTCGAGAACGTTAATATCATCCAAATCAATTGGAATGTGGCTTCCCTGACCGTGAATGTGAACATCTTCAGGTATCGGTATGTCATTTAAACCGACAAATTCATTTGGAAATTGACTTTGCGGCGTACTAGGCGATTCTCCATGATGTGGCAATGGCTCACATCCTGTATCGAACAAGCTCGCAACAAATGAACATTGATCCATTTCTGTGATTGTTTATGATGAAATCTGGACTAGATGAATATAAATGTAGTGAGATTGTGAGAATTGAGAATTGGATGAATTGAAATTGTAACTAATAAATTGGAAAAATTTCAGTGACCAGAATGGTCACTGAAAAGTGACCAAAACGGTCACTATTGTGACCATTTTGGTCACAGGCTCACGAGCCACGAGCCGGCTCGTGGCTCGTCAAAATGAGCCGCTCGTGGGCTCGTCTACCCGCTCGGCTCGTGCTCGGGCTTGTGATTTCACGAGCCCCTTTTTCACGAATCAAGTGGGCTCGGTCCAATTGACATCCCTACGTCGACATCATATTTTAGTCAATATGACAGAATTGGACAAAACTCAAGTCCAGTAACCTAATCGACACTAATATGAAATATAATGACTTAGTTGATATTAAGATTCCGTTCCCAATTGAATACAAAATAAAACTGCAGCAAATTCGGTCCAATTGACATCCCTACGTCGACATCATATTTTAGTCAATATGACAGAATTGGACAAAACTCAAGTCCAGTAACCTAATCGACACAAATATGAAATATAATGACTTAGTTGATATTAAGATTCCGTTCCCAATTGAATACAGAATAAAACTGGGACAACTTTGAGAATGGCTGGTAAATTCTTCCTTTTTTTCCACAATAACCTTTCCTATTAAAAGTACTAAATTGCCCTTAATGAAATTATTTACAAGATCTATCTTATATTTTTAAGGTTTTATCAATCAGGCCCTATATCTATATTTTTCAATCTTTTGAACACTTTTAAATATTCTTTATATTTTAATAATTCTTCAAAGATTGTAGGTTGACCTTTCTTGGTTATATATCCTTCAAATAATCCTTCTGAAATTTCTTCTTGTATATTTCTATGTTTAGTTATGATATCTTCTACCTTTCTTATTTCTCTACTAGTTCTTACAGGGTCAAATCCTATATTATTTCTACAATTATAATCTATATCTCTGTATACTTCTTCTATTTTTTCTTTACCAACAGGAAATATATCATCAGATTTTTTATCTAATTTAAGTAAGAACGAAACATCTTTTTCATCTAAAAATAAAATAAGATTATTATCATCATTAGTAGTGAAGTGGATGCTTGTGAATTGTTCATGAAAATAATTAAAGCATAGGCATGTAAAAGCAATTAAATAACTTACAGTAATCAAGTGGAAATAAACAGGCTTTCCCTCCAGTATGCTCTTATAGATGTTTTGCAAGTACTTAATCAATATTCTGAATCAAGTAAAGGTTTAAAATGTTTTGAAATCATTTGGGTCCACAACTGCTTCCGCAAAAGGCTTTTCAATTAAGGTTGCATTTCTCATTCTAGAGAACTAGCCGTGTTTCCACAGACGCTATCTCACAGTATCCAG